AGCAAGATATTTTACAGATCTTTTAGGAAGCAGCACCCAGACTGGGAGACAGATCTGTGAAATGTGAGTTTTAGCTCTGGCTCATCTACCGACTAAATGGTTCTAATACAGAAACATTTCTGTATTGTTCATGGCTGTATCCCAAGTATCTAAAATATGTTGAATAAATGAATCAACACTCCCACATTCCAATTGTTAGAACAAGAAAACTACTGAGGTTAGTTAAACGCTCTGAGTCCTAACTTTTCTCATCTATAAAATAAGAGCTAGTATCTCCCAAAAGATGGAAAATATATCATCAAAAGCACTTGCCACTCAAAGATCCTTGCTACTCAAAGAGTAGTCCAATAATCAGCAGCATCAGCATCACTGGAATTGTGCTGGAAATGCAAACTCTTGAGTCCCACCCCAGTCCTACTGAATCTAATTATGCATTTTTAACAAGATCCCCTAGATAATTTCTATGCACATTAGAGTTAGAGAAATAATCATTTAGATGGTACTAGGACTCAACATTAAATGGCCTGTAATCACATAGTGGGAAGGTTATTCCTTTTCCAGTTATCATTCAACTTTTTGGTTACTTTATGGAGAAAGATTGATGTCAATATCTTTAACACCTTGCTAACAGCTGCTAATATCCTTTTTAACAAGGAGAAAGCAAGCCTTAGGTTCCTGGGCAGGCAAAGGTATTTATCTTGACTATAACAGCATTGTTTTATTCTCATTGTGTTTGTTTAAATGGTTGCCTTGTATTCATGGCAACTGATACCAGTTTTCTATTTAAGGTAGTGATGAAAACCTCTTTAAAATAAATTAATTTAGAAAAGTGAATGTAATTAAGGGAAAGAAACACATAATAAATGGGAAGAACTCTTTGCTTTAGTGATTCCTTCCGTGTAAAGGAACTCTATTGGTTTGACAATCCTGACCTCTGTCTTGCCTCCATAGTTTCACTGATTAGGCAACTTTATTTACTCTGCATGGGGTAGGGGTGGGGAAAGTGTAAATTTAGGAATAAAATGAGCATTCTTAGGTCAACATTCTCCTTCTTCCTTTTGAAATTTAAATACCTAGAGGATAATTTACTCATAGATAATTTGCTTATAAATTTCCAGTCCAATTGGTAGGATTGTAGCAGCAGGTTGTTTGTTTAATAGATCTCTATGGTGTGCCTATGGTAACGCTAGGTTCTGGTTGTGTGCCTTATTTTCTGTCTTCCTGCTGCTCAAAGGTACTGCTCCTTTTGAAAAGTTCCAGAGCAGCCTCTAGTCAGGCTATCACAATGTCTTTGGTTTCTCAGCTTCTGAATCTGCTCAGAGGCAAGAGTCAGGGGTACTGATGAGCTTGGGGTCCTTTTAGAAGAAAGCATCAGGTACTCATTTTCATTAATCATGAGACAAAAATGGAGAATTGTTTTTAAGGCATCTGGCCAATTCCCTCATGGCCTAACCACCATCCATTCAAGCAGGTCAGTCATGAGGGATTGTAGTCATTACCCTTTTCATGACCCTATTTTGGCAAAAGGCCCTAGATAAGAGTGTTCTGCTGTTTCCCTGGAGAGTAATCGCTTTTGTCTCTGAGCTCCACATTTGCTTATGTTAGTTCTCTATCACTTAAGTGGTGCCCCTTTATTCTTCATTATATTGCTCTGTTGTATTTCCATCATGATACTTAACTCCACTGCTTTGTTTACTTGTTTATGGTCTGATCCCCTGCTCTAGACTGTAAGCTCAAGGAGAGCAGAACCATTTCTGCATTGTTCACGGTTGTATCCTAAGTGTCTAGAATATGTTGAGTACATGAATCAACACTTCCACATTCCAACTGTATGAACAAGAAAATGAGGATGTGTACTTTAAAGATCTAGTTAGTAGTCACTTTGTAAGATCATTGTTGAACTCTGGAACTGAGATTTTCACCAATTGTTGCGGCCGTGCATGGCTCTAAATACAAATTTTTGTCTGCTGCATTTCTATTTCTTTGTTCATTAATGCTCTACTTACAGTTGGAAAGTGTTTGCAGTGACTTATGATAAAGTCAACAATCATCATGCAAAAGACAAGAGCTTATAAGTAAGGGAGGACCCAAGATGAACCTTTACAAGAAATCATTGCTAGGGTATAACTTTCTACTGCAACCTATGCAAGATCTGTTCTCTAAGCTTCCTTTTCTGCTCTTCATGGATAAAGTTGACTTGGACACTTAAAACTGCTTTGAAAAAATATATATTCAGACTCCTTGAGCAATTTCTGGTGAAACTGTCCAAAATTTTCTGAAATTTATGCTTGTCTAGGTAACTGCTCATAAAGGCATGATGGCCAAATCAAATGATTCCATGCTTATTTTTCCCTTTCTCATGTTTCTTGATGTCAGTGGAGAGGTAGGTAGGAGTCAGAAGCAGCATTTTACCTAGCCCAGACAATTTTTTCAGTGGTATAGATAGGAGCATGGTTGACACTTTCTGGTCTTTTAGCCTCCCTAAATACAAAGAGGTCCAGATTGGCAATTTCCAAAGAATATTAAAGGGAAGTACACCGGGAGATAGGACTGGAATCTGCTTAAGGTTGGGGGGTTCCAGGAGTTCCTGGTTCGTGTGAGGATTTCATTGAGCTTATTGGCAGTGGATTAGAAACACATATCATCATTCAAGCTGCTGATAAATGTCTAGAGTTCGTTCCTAGACTCCAAATGTTTTTTCTTTGAAATCAAGCCCCTTTGAATGACCAACCAAGTCAGTTTTACCTAGCAAAGGCAGAAAAGTCTAAACCCTGCTGTCTTGAAATATAGGCACAAACTTCTCTCAGATAGTAAATATTCATAACTATTGTGATTGTGACTGGTGTTCTAAAAATGAAAGACCAGGGGAAAATGGAGATTTAAGTCAGAAATTTATCACAGAAAAAGGTGAAACAAAGAACACAGTTCAATAATCACATCCCCTGAGCTACAGGCATACATGCAGACTTAAAGAAACACACCAACCACTTTGGGAGGCCGAGGCGGGCGGATCACGAGGTCAGGAGATCGAGACCATCCTGGCGAACACGGTGAAACCCCATATCTACTAAAAATGCAAAAAAAAAAAAAAAAAAATTAGCCAAGCATGGTGGCGGACACCTGTAGTCCCAGCTACTCGGGAGGCTTAGGCAGGAGAACTGCATGAACCTGGGAGGCAGAGCTTGCAGTGAGCCAAGATCTCGCCACTGCACTCCAGCCTGGGGGACAAAAAAAAAAAAAAAGAAAAGAAACACACCAACATTTTAGGAGCTGTGTATTCTGTGACAAATCCCATCTTCCCATGTCATCACCCTCATAGTTCATTTGGACTAGAATAGACTCAGGGTTTTCTTCAGTCTGTAATATTAATACTCCTTACCTTTTACAGTGACTTCTCATGCACTATCCCATCTAAACATCACAACCCTCTTATATAGAAGGCAGGTAGACATTCCTTTCCCATTCTGAAGATGAGAGTCTGAGAATTTAAGTGATTTGTGAAAGATCATATGATAAGTAGCTGGCAGAGCCTGCACTAAGTTTCCAAATTTCTGATTTTTTAACTTTACACTTTTCCTACCATGTCTCACAGCTTCTTGGTGATCCCAGGAGGTCTAATATATCCTGTAGAACTATTCAAAGCTTAAAATATGGGGATATTATCAGGCTTAGATGCTCATTGAAGGCAGTAATTAACTTGAGGTAGGTAGACTTAACCAAGACTGTCCTGGCACTGATCAAGCAACTTTCTGGGAAGAACCCGTGGCAGACCCACAACATAGAGCTAGATTGGAATTGCTCCACTCTAGAGAAGGAGTGTCAATCAGCCAGTATTATCCCCAAACACAAGATCAGTGAATTTATTTCCAAGGGTAGGAGAGTTATGTTTTTTTGCCTCCCATGTGTTTTGAGGGCTTGGACCAAAGTGCAAGAATTTATGTAGATAACTTTCATCCAAATCAATCTACTCAATGCTTATTAAATAATTCATTCAGTGATGTGGTCAAGCATGCCTGGGTTGGTCTCATCTAGTCCCAATCCTTTTGGGACATAACTTGGCTCTGGGACACTAATCTTAAAGGAGCCAATACAAAATATAAGCCTTCTCTCTCTCGTCTCCACTTAGACTGGTACCTGTTTAACCTGACCTCACAGATACCTCCTTCCATGTTTAAAAAGGTGCTTTCACTGCATTAGCACACATCACTTCCTTCTTGCTTTGTGAAATTTATTTTAACGGAAGTGGGGGAAAAAGAACTCTCCTTTATTGAGCTCCAAATATGTGTCCAACACTAGGCTAGGCAATTCTAAAAACATGATGATTTCTCAATCGCATGACAATCCTGCAAGGTGATTATTTCACAGATGAGGGAAGAAAAGCTAAAAAGTTAAATGCTCCAAGGTCATACAGATTGGAATCCTAATGTGTCTTCAAATCTCAAGTCTATGATCTTTGCACCCCTAAGATGTTGTGGACCCAAAGATAAATTTGAGCTTTGGAGAAGGAGGTGGGTCTTGTCTTCTTTAGGAGGAGAGGAGAAATCAATCTCTCTCATTTTTTCTTTCCAGTAGGGCTCAGGGATGTGGAAGTTTAAGAGCAAGGAAGCCTTCGCAGAGGATGAGGGAAGCTTCCAGAGGGCAGGAAGGAGGTCTGGACAGCCCAGTCTAGCAGGGGCAGAGCTGTGGCAGATGCCTTCCCAACACACAGACACTGCAGAGTCCTGCTGGTCCCTGCTTTCCCACACGGCCCCCTCAGCCTCCCCGCAGCCTGAGATAAGACACTGGAGGTCACACCTGGAGGCTCAGAAGGCCAGCGAGGAGTTGTGACCGGCAGACGGGGGGGACGGGGGACGGCAGGCCAGGTGGGAGGGGATCTGGTGCCAGGCTTGGGCTCAATATGTAAGGGGTTGGGCAGCCCACGTGACTCCAAGGAGGCGGAGACAGGCGAGCTGGAGGGAGGACGAGCAGGCGCGGGGAGGGGTTCGGGGGTGGGGGCGCAATCTGAATAATTGAGGAGCTGTTCAGCAGCCGCGGCTGCCTCCTGCCTTCCTTTGCCGCCACCACCACTTCCCATCCCAGCTAGAGAAACAGCTCCGCGCTGGAAGTGAGTTCGGCCAGCTACCAACCTCGGCAGCCAGCCCGTCGCCTCCAGCCCCCACCCGGGTGAGTGAACAGCCCCCTTTGCTACAGTTTGTCCCCCTCGGCGACCCCCGCGCCCCAGCGGGACCCCTGCAACTGAGATGGCCGCCTCTCCCGGAATGACCCAGGGAGCCGGAGTCACCGGGAGCGGGGGACCAAGAATATGGCGCGGAGGCCGAGGGCGCCCTCCAGGAAGGGGTTCCCTGGAAGAATGGAGGAGCTGGGTCAGGCTCTTTCTGGCTCTGGCCCGGAATGAGGCCCGGACCGCCCGCAATCTGGGGGCACTGGGCTCTGACTCGCGGGAGCTGCCGGGCGGGGCGGGGGCCAGCGCGGCTGCGGCGCCGCCAGAGCGGGAGGCAGAACGGGAGCCGCGAGCGGCGTCCGGGCAGCCTGGGTCTCGGCAGACGCCGGGCCCGTCCTGTCCCCCGCCTTGGCGGGCACCCCGCACGGGCAGCTCCGTTCTCCACCTCGGACCGAGCCCATGAAACAGAGACGCTTTTCCAGCCGCAGACCGAAGGAAGGTCGGGAACAACGTCTGCCCTTTTGCCTGGGAGCAAACTCCTCAAAGGGACTCCCGCCGAGCCCAGCTCCCCGACCAGGCCGGTGGCGCCCCGAGGGGCGTCTGTCCCCGGAGAGTGGTGACTCGCCCGGGGGCGGCAAAGAGAACGTGACGGGAGCGGTGTCCAGGGGAGCTCCCTGCCCAGAGCCGACAGCCCCAGCCAGGGGAGCTCTCCTGCACTGCCTCACTCCTCAGTCTCCTCTCTTCCCCCACTCCACAACACATCAGCTCCCCTCTAATCCAAGAGGGTCAGGCTAGGGCTCCGTGGCCACCGGGGAGGAGCCCCCACCCTCCTTCTCTCTCCTGTGTCACCCCGCCCGCTCCCCAAATGAGTATTTTATATTGCAATTGAAGAGTGAGCAAAGCAAAGGCAGGGAAGAGATGCAGAAAGGCAGCAGCGGGGCTCGCGTCTGTTCCTGGCACTCCTCATTCCCCCACCTGTGTGAAGCTCGTTTCCTTGAGGTTTTGAGAGGAGAGACTCAAAGGAACGGGCTCTGGCGAAGGGATCCCCGCCTGAGTGTCGGGGTGCGTCACTGGCTCGAGTTGCCCAAGGGCCGCAGAATGACAACCTGCCTCCCCCTAGGTACAGGGTCTAGGAGAGCGCCTGGGTAAGGTAGCTCTCCTCCGACCGAGCGCAGGAAAAGGCGCTGTCCGCGGTGCTGAAAGTTCTCAGAGGCTGGGTGCTAATACCGCCGCAACCCGCATTCCCTGCAAGCAGAAACTGCGTTAGAACCATGTAAAGGGTTCTAAGCAAGCGATCTAGAGAAACAGATAAAGAAGGGGCTTTGCCTTTCCCGGTTTTCTGCTTCCCCGGGACTCCGCCTGGGTAAAGGTTCTCGGCTTTCCTGGGTGGAAGTGCAGGAAGCGGGTGTCACTTCAGGATCCAGCTTTGCTAACTTGGGGAGCTTCCTCGTTCTACTTCCTGTACCTGAGTAGTGAGTCTTCCTGTCGGTAAAGTGTTGAAAGGCAGTTAGGGATGCTGTTTTGATAATAAATATTTCTGTGGCTTTCAGGAATCAGAGAATTGTTAGGCTACACAAAGGAGGGGCTTCATGGTTATAGCTTTTTCCTCTTCTTAGAACCCTTCTTTCCCCACTGCATGTTATTTACATGCTTTAGATAAAGATCGCTAAGCAGTCCTGTATGTTTGTTTCTTTAGCTAGTCTTTTATATTACAGATAAGATGGGGAAAGGATTGAGCCAACTTTGGGAGGCCTGGTTTGTACTGAATACCTCTGTCGGCTAGGTAATAACATTTCATTTATACTTCAGAATAGCTGCCAACCATAAGTATCACACAGAGAAGGAAACGGAAACTTGATTCCAGAGATTGGATTCAAACTCAGATCTATTTAACTCAAAGTCCAAGCCATTTTCATGACTTCATTTTGGTATTTGGCTCTGAATAGCTATTATTGGAGATTATAGCAGGAGAATGACAAAGAAGGGAGGCCTGCTCTTCTCTTTCACACACTCTCCTCTCTTCCAACCCTTTTCTCTTTAATCCGTTCACCCACTCACTGTCATGCACTCCCACCCTCCCAACTGGTTTTGCATGTCGCTTGAGATACCACCGTTCACACAACTTCAGCTCCAGTACTATGGAAACAAGTTAGAGAACTAAACCAGCAGGCTTTTCTAGAAGAGTAGCAGGGTTTCAGGAAGTCTGGAGAACTAGAGTCCACATGTACTTTCATATTAAGAATTATACTATTGAATTTTAGGACTAGAATAGCTTTGAATAACATTTAGCACCACTGTTTTACGTGAAAGAAAACTTGGAAACCAAAAGACGGTCATTAGTCTAAGTGACATGATTGAAAAATTAGAACCCAGTTAACCTGATTCCAGGCCCAGTGCCTTTCCCACTATTTCCTGGTGTCTGAAATACTCTTCCATATTGCTTCTTTGATTATATTTGACAAAACGTCAACATCAGTGAACTATATAAAAGAACATACCAAAAATACAAACACTTAACATACAAGCATTCCCCTTACCTTTCTTCCAGCTCCTTTGTCTTCCAGCTCTTTCCCCTCTGGTCCTACTATTCCAGTGTTGTCTAACCCGACATACCTGGGAGATATGACCCACCTTCCTCAGTAACAGTTTTTTCTGCAGCAGCAATGCAGAAATGAGAATGGTGGTGTGGCATTTCTTTACTTGCTCTATGTTGTCTATATCTCCTCTTCCATGACCTATTCTCCAAAAAATAATTTTCCCAAAATTGGTTACCCTAAGCAGCTGCCCATGTTCTCACAGGGACTTGGAAAAGGCCCTAATAAGACCTAAGGATTTTTATTTAAAAAGAGCATTATAAGTGTTAATATCTATGAAATGCTTATCACATGTGAGGCACTATGCGTAGTTTCTTCATCAATCATTTTACTGAATTATCACAATTCTGTCAAGTAGGTATCTCAATTAAAGATGTTCATAGAGTTCTAGTTCACTCTAACATACATTGAAACCTGATATTCTGTTCATTTCCTCTTTCTTCTCTTTCCAGCTCATAGTGAAATCTCATCTTCATTAATTGGATTTTTGTATTTAATTGATAGTTCCATCCTGCTCCAAAACTTAGCATTTAGAAATTCGAATTCAATTCAAATGGCACTGTTTTGCTCTCTCATCTCTTAATATTTACCAAACATATTCTCCCCATTTGTTATTCCTTATTTTAAAATTCCCATATGCCTCCTTATTGATAATGCCAACATTCTGCTTCAAATCTTCTCTAGAGTCAATTAAGGTATAATTTGTGATTAAATACATAACTTCTTTTGTACCTCCACTAGGTGATCTGTCAAGAATGCTATTGTTGAGGTGCTCTGGGCCCTGTGAACCAGAACCTTAAACTGTCTAGAACTACTCTGTTCAACATGGTATGCTAGCCACATGTAGCTATTTATATTTAAATTTTAGTTAAACTTTTAAAAATTAAAAATTTAGTCCCCCAGTCACTCTAGTCATATTTCAAGTGCTCAATAACTCTATATGGCTAATGATTACTATATTGGACAGGGCAGACATCAGAAAATTTTTACCATTTAAGAAAGTTGTGTTGAATAATGCTGCTTTAGACAGTACTAAACATACCCTCACAGCAACGAAGAACTAGGAACTGGGAAGAAGTAAGGAACTACTCTTCCTTGAAGCTTCTGCCAAGAAAGGCAGAAAAAGCCACTTATGCCTAATACATCACCAACAGCCCAAAGATACCTAAGACAATTAGGCTATGAAGGAGTGTGCATATCTTACTTAAGTAGCTGGTAGCCTCTTGAGTTTGCTTCATATGAATTCTATGTTATTATAAAGTAAAATATTCCATGAGTGAGGTTTGCTGGTTTCCCAAATTTTGACTTAGATATAACCTGAAAGTTCCAATTCAAAATCCAAGTTTATAGATAATGTGGATATGTAATAACATGTGTGTGTGTTTATCTTGTCTTAGTAATCATAGTATGGTAGACATGCAAAGAATATAAGACTTGGAGTCAGTAGTATAGGTGCCACTTACTACTTGGTGACATTATGAGGCCCTCTAGAGCTCCATTTCTCCATCGGTAAGATGTTGATGAGAATTGCCGTAACTACCTCAAAGGACTATTGTGAAACTCAAAGTGTAGGCATGTGAAAGTACTTTGTAAGGAGCATGATTGAATCTGCAATGGTTTATTATTTTACATAGATATGGTACAGACAATGTACAAATAGGGTAGTTCAGGCTGAATGCATTTCTGAATGGTTTTAATCCTGATATGACTGGTATTTTTGCCTTTGTTGTCATTTATTTCACTGAAAAGTAGAACGGTGAAGAAAAAAATTAGTTATTGAAATTTCTGGTTTGTTAGATTCTATTAATTGAAATACTGTGCATTCCTTGTGGTTTAGTTTATTTGGTCCTGAACATTTTCTTCTCAGGATTTAAAAAAAAAAATAACTAGGAAGTCTAAGTTATTCGGAACAGCTTTTACCTTTCAACTAATAGTTTTTAAGTAATAATCAATAATGATCCCATCAGGTAATAGGGCTTCAGAAATAACAAAATACAAGAATTATGGATATTCCTCAGTGTGAGTGGATGAGAGGGATAATTTTTAAAATATATTCTTACTATTTACAAATTGAAATGAGCTTCTATCCATTTTCATAGATGAATTGAACAAGAATAATTCTATTTCATGCATTGATTAAACCAAAATAAAAGTGAAAGTCATTAACTTCACTGAATTATTGAGTTTGCATTAGGGATTCTAACCTTAAATAACGAGTCTTTATTCATTCTCTAAGTTGCAATCTGTTGGGGTCATTAGGAGAACCTTATGCATCTGGCTAACATTTACTCCCAAACCTAGCATCTATGATCTACTCCTGCACTTTGATCTGTGTATGCTATTTATGCTTCAAGTAAAAGTGCTTTTCAGATGCAGCTATACCTTCTATAATGGCTCACCATTTTGAT